GAGAGTTGAAGAAGCAATCGGTCAGTGGAAATGGCCGAGGGTGACTGGAGCAGTGAGCGCCGGCTTTTCGCACAGAATGCGATGAGTGGACGGGACGATGCTGACGGATTTCCCTCGGCATCACCTCGACAAAAGCTGTCTCCTTTGGGCGCGATTCGGTTGCAGTTTCGAGTCAGTCTCGTCGACGCCCCGGCAACAATGACGGGTTCCGATGCCGGACCGTGAATATCATGTCGACGTCGCCAATGCGTGTCAAGAGGTAGTCACGATAGGCAAAAGTGCACATGCTGTAAATGTGCAACGTATGAATTGCAATCGACAACAAATGTTTGCTAACTTGGCAAGAGCATTGGAGAGCTGGTGGGTAGCATTGCCGCCATACTCATGACACAGGCTCGAGTCCCGCTGGAGGCGCTGAGGAAACCAGTTCACTTGAGGCTGAAACGTCAATCCACTCGCGTCAAAATGACATCCAATGGCGTTGAGAAGTTTGCGCAAGTTGCGTTTGAGTTGGGTTTCGAGGACTGTTTTCTTTCATAATTGTTCATCTCACTTCCATTTCGAGCAAAGTGTTTGCTGAAGAGATTCGAAGCTCGATTCGACCAGAAGAAGACGAAGGCAGATTCCTTTTGACCAGCTGTCGATTGGCTGTACTGGGCAGAAACGAAGAAGATGTCGTTCTTTGCGTTCAGACCGTTTTTATTCCCAACTTCCTTACTTGTTCACCTCTTCTTTTAGAGAGAATGCACAAAGGTGAAGACAAAACATGAGAAAAGGTCTCCTTATCTCTCCTTACTTCTTCACCATTCAAAAAGACATTCTTTATTAATCTAATGTCATTTCAATAAGGCCTAGTGGATATTTATTCTCAAGAAATTTTGTTTTAAACCGATTTAGTTCATTGTCACAATGTTTTATATCGGCTGGTTTTATGCTCCGAATAATCATAGATTTTGAAACTCAAGCCTTTATTTTGTAGCAATGATTGGGGAAGAAGTTAAGTATGAAACCGGCATGTGTTGGCTTTCTATCGACATTTCTGCTTATCTTCTCACTTGCTCTGATCACTTCGACATTGAAAAAGGGTAAATTATTGTCCATCTCCATCTCAATTGTCAACTTAATATTGCAATCAATCTGGTTAATTAAAAACAATAAATTATTAACACTATCCTTGTCTTGTTGCCATATGGCAAAGTAGTCATCCATGCATTTAACTAACAGTTTTGGTGTCAATCTTACTTCTTCCATGAAGTGTTCCTCCATCCTTCACATGTCATTATTAGCCAAGCTGGGAGCCAAGCAAGATCCCATTGCTAGGCCTTGCACCTGTTCATAAATCTTATTATTAAAGTTGAACTGTGTACTACTCATGGATTGATTAAGTAGTCTTAAGATTGAGCTTTTGCTCAGATTTACTTCCACAATAATGTCTGCCTACTCATCCAGATTGAGTGCTATTTTTTCAATAGACCTCTGGACTGGGATGTTAGTATGCATTGATACCACATCGAAACTCGCCAAAAGATCCTCCTACTTAATACTCTGTTGATCTATTAATCTTGCAAATGTATATGAATTCTTTACTGAATATTTCCAATACTCAGCCACGTTTCCTTGATTGTCTGCATAAGAAACGTGAGATCCTATGAATCACAGTACCCTTGTTATTAACAATCAATCTTATAGGAACTCCTTTCTTGTGTATTTTTGGAAGGCCGTAGGCCGAAGGTGCTCTAACATTTCTCTAAAAAAGTGGATTCTTTTTCAACTTCTCAATTT